CTAATAAGAAAGTGTCAAAAGTTATTGGGGTTAGTAAATTATGTTAGCAAATTTATTCCAAAATTGAGTGAAATTTCTGATCCTCTTTCTCAATTGCCTAAAAAAAATGTTGTTTTTCAATGGTTGGAAGTTCATGTAGGGCACAGAATATTAAACAAGAATTAGCAAGAAATATCACATTAAAATTTTTAAATCCAAATAAAAATATTGTGATTCAAACAGATGCATCACAAAATGGCATTGGTTGATGTTTGATGCAAGAGCGTAATCCTGTAGCATAGGCTTCTAGGAGCTTGACAGATGCTGAAAAACAGTATGCATTCATTGAAAAAGAAATGTTTGTGTATGCGTGCCTAAAATTTAATTATTTTATTCATGGTTGTCCTATTAAGATAATAACTGATCATAAGCCTAACGTAAGTGTTTTAAATAAGGAAATATCTTCAATAAATTCTCCTAGTTTACAAAGGTTGAAATTCAAAAATAAAGTATAATATGAAAACTTAATACATTCCAGGTATTTATCTACATATTGCAGACTATTTGTCTAGGTATGATAGTTCTCAAAAGGCTTAAATTGATAGTGACATGCAAGAAATGGTGCATGGGATGGAAAAATATTTACGTATGAGTGAAAGTAGAAAAAAGTAATTCCGAAAACAAACTATGAGAAATAAAATTTTAGGTAAAGTTATGAAATATTGTTTGAGTGGTTGGAAAAAAATAAAATTTGAAGGTGAGCTTGGAGGTTTTTATAATTTAAGAACTAATTTACATGTAATTGATAATCTCATATATTACAATGATAGAGCAGTTGTGCCTGAGATTTTGCGTGAAGGGATGTTGAACATATTGCATTTTGGTATAAATCGAACTAGAGATAGAGCTCGTGGTGTATTGTTTTAGCCAGGTATGAGTATGAATATTGAGAATATTATAAAGCATTGTAATTTAGTTACGCAAATGTGAAAGAACCATTAATTATACATGATATTCCCGAATTACCTTTTCAGAAAGTTAGGTTGTGACATAATGGAGTACAGTGAGAAATAATATTTAATTGTTGTAAACTATAATTTGACTAAATGGCTTGAAATAATACCTGTGAGAGAAAAACAATCTTGTGAAGTTATAAATGCATTTAAGCAAATATTTGCAACTCATGGTGTACCTGATATTATTGTGGCTGATAATATGCCGTTTGGTTCATATAAATGAGGGGTTTTTGCGGATCAATTTTATTGAAAACAACATTCAAAGTAGCCCTAGATATCCCAGGTCTAATGGTTTGGCAGAAAGATTTTTTCAAACGGCTAAGAACATAATTCGTAAGCCTGATGATATTTGCGTAGCTTTGATTGAATATCGAAAAACTCCTATCAAAAGTTTAAAAGCGATCACCAGCTGAGCTTCTGTTTTCAAGACTTAAAACTAAACTACCAATTGTAGAGAAACAAAAACCTGAAATTACAGAGTTCAAAAAAAAATTGGAACATAAAAAGAATTTGTATAAAGAATTTTATGATAGGCATACTAGAGAAAGATCAGAATTTAGAGAAGGAGAAAATGTTGTACGAAGAGATTCTAAGCAATGGTGCCCAGCGACTATAATGACCAAACATGATTCCCCTAGGTCTTATTTGATGGACAATGGTAGCAGCGTGCTGCGACGTAATAGTAATCATTCACGTGAGACAATTATTGCACGTGAAAATAAGGATTTGATAAATTATTCAGATAATAATGATTATAATAAAAATAACTTAGGATCTATAGAAGATCCGAATCAAATTTGTTTCTGCAGAAAGTAGTCCTACTAGGCCTACTTCTGATGCACATACGCAGACTTTGAATAAATTTTATTATTAAGAAATCACGTAAATTTCCAGATTTTGTTATGTATTAAGAAAAAGTTAAAGTTATTCTATTAGCCATCCTGCAGGCTGTAGACCAATATGTCGAAAAAAGAAAATGAATAAATTTAATATAGCATCGTGGAATGTAAATTAACTTCGTTCACGAAAAACAGAAGTGGAGTTTTTTCTAGATGAACACCAGCCGCAGCTACTAGAGTTGTAGGAAACTAAGTTGGCTAATGGCCCAGGATGTCCTTCCAGGACTATTTTATCTACAGAAAAGACAATTTAAACCCATGTCAAGGAGGTGTGGCACTCCTTGTAAGAAAAGACGTTACTCATCACCTAGTGGGTCAAATAGAAGCGCCATTAGAAAACGTATCAATAAATATAACAGAAAGACCATAATAACAACAATTTACAAACCACCTAGACAGAAAGTGCTGGAAGAAAACATTACCAACCTACTAAACAACAATACACCAAAAGTACTAATAGGAGATTTCAACTGCAAATCAGCACTCTGGAACAGTACGCATCAAATGTATCAATGGTTCAAGACTTGCAAATTTCACAGAAAATCAAGGTACCTTTGTAGTAGGGCCAGCAAGTCCTACTTACTTACTTATTATTCGAGGAACACCACAGTCATGAAAAATATTGCACTATCCTACTGTCATTGGGTAAAGACCCAAACTGTAGATATGTAGTTAAGAAAACAATCACCAACTAGACTGCATATAAAGCCAGTCTTAAAAGATGTTTTCCATTACCAAAAAAAAAGAACAAATGATGATATAGAAGAGGCAACATTAGCATACACAATGGCCCTTGAAAATGAGTATGATGCAAATTCAACGACCAAAAATATCATAAAAGGATCCATAGATTCATTGCCAGCTAACCTTCAACAACTAATCAGGGAAAATCGTAGACTGCGTCGAAGATATGCTACTGCAAAAACCCCTGAAGCAGAACAGGAACTAAACGAACACTACCAAGAAATTGAAAAACTATAGGAATTCAATTTGGAATAAGAAACTAAGAAGTCTGGAAACAACTGATAATTCTGCACGGCAAATGCAAAAGGCTCCTAGAAGACCAAAGACAGTCATCCCTCCCATTCGTGGTCTGAATGGTATAGCCTTTTCCGACCCAAAAAAAGCTGAAGCCTTTGCTAATACCCTGGAAAGAGTTTTTATCTTAAATTAAATAAAAAATGAGGACATTGTTAGAGCGGAAGCAACAGCTAGAGAAGTTGATAAAATTGTAAGCTTACCAACTCCAAGAATTGCCACCAATTTTGTCTCCCCAGGAGAAATCAAAGGCCTAGTCAAAAGTCTAGAAATCAAGAAGTCACCTGGCAATGATAAAGTTGAGAAAAAAATGGTGAAAGAACTCCCAGCAAAAGCATTCACAGCAATAGCTAATCTTGCAAATCCAATTCCTGGAAGAAATCAAACATTATTGTACTGAGAAAACCGGGCAAGGATGCCAAGTTCCCAGATAATAATTACAGATCAATAAGCTTACTCCCGACCATTAGTAAAATTGTAGAGAAAACCATTAAGAACAGATTGTGCCAAGAATTGAAGACTTGAGAATCATCCTTGACTTCCAGTTTGGCTTCATGTCAAGACATTCAGCAGGAAAGCAAACCATACATATTACGAAAATAATTGTGGACGGATTCAACAATAAAGCAGCAACTGGCGATGTGATGCTGGACATAGGAGTGTGGCATGCGCGACTCATAGAAAAGATGGGAAATCGGAATATATCTATAAAATTGTGCCAACTTATTCACAGCTATCTGGTGAACCGGAAAGTTCAGATCAGAATAGGCTCACAATTCTCAACAAGAAACTTTGAGGCAGGAGTACCGCAAGGTTTAGTGCTGGATCCCCTCCTCTATAGTTTGTACATAAGTGACTTACCAACTCACCATAGCACGGAAACAGCTTTATTTGCGGATGATACTGCCATCTTGATGAGTCATCGTAACACAGCCTTCATCAGCAGAAATCTTCAAACACACAAAAATTTAATTGAAGAATGGTGCAACCTAAACAAAATTAAAATGTCACAAAAGCCCAAGCAATCCTTTTTCAAAAAAGAATAATGGCCCCAGGACCAAACATCGTCATTGGAGGTGAAAGAATTCAATGGAGTGAAAAATTCAAATATCTTGGTCTAGAAAGGGGCAAAAAAACTAACATGGAATTCGCACGTGAACACTACTATAATCAAAGCAAGAGTCCCTCTAACTATATCCAATAGTTAGAGGAAGTAATATGAGCATTAACGTCAAGATGGGTATCATTAAGGCAGGCACCAGGGCTCAACGGGCTTAGGCCTCCAACACTTGGTTTGGGTCAAGAACTGAACAAGGGACCAGAGTCGGAGTACTTGGGCCTGCCTGGACAAGTTAAACAAACTAGGCAAAGATAACAAACTACCCTTCCAGTAGATACCAGGACACGCAGGGATGGAAGGCTATGTGAAAGCGTACCAATTGGCGAAATTGGGAGCACAAACTCTGCTCTCAGGACCAGAACCTTTCTGTGGTATAGGGACGCACTCTTAGAAGGAAGCGTTCAGAAAGGAAGAACCAAATGGTTTTGGGAACAACTTCCAGGGTTAAAGCAATCAAAGATGTTTTTAGAGCTCCTTCACCAAGGAAAAGCAAAACAATCTCAGCATTCTAACTGGATTTCCTACAGACCACTGCACTTTGAGTGAATTAAAATCGAAAACGAAGACAGCTGCCAGTTCTGTGAGGAAGGCGAGGAAACTACAGAACACCTTCTCAGAGAGTGCTGCACCGTTGGACGGAAAGAAATTCCATCCATGAAAGCATCCAGACTACTTGCTTTCATAAAAGTTGGATAAGGTGCTTTGAGTGAGAATGCTATCAACTGAAGCACTCACGATTTTTGAGATTAATGAAACAGTTGTTGCTCCGATTTTTCGAGATTACTCCTCTTTTAATTGCTAATTTAAAATCTTGATTGGACATAGAAGAAATAAAATATTGCACGATACAATACAAATTCGTGAAAGTACTCGTATTTCATTATTGTTGCCTGTTTTATACACTTAAATTTGATGCAAAGCACATAAAAAATAATTTGATCGACTCACTTTTGTTGTGCAGGTTGCAGGAATCTGTCCACGGAATTTTCAGAATAATCATCTTCCGCACCCGGATAGCCTTGTTCTGAAAAGAAAAAAATCATTTTTGATATTATTTAAATTGGTAATTTTGAACAACAAAAAGTTTTAATTTAAACCGTCAACAACTTTTAATTAGCTTTTCAACGCAAACCCGACACCTTTTCAGGTTAAGAAGATGGCTAATTATCTCGGCTAAAAGGAAATGCCAAGTAGGATTAGCTTATTTTTTTCTTTTTGACACTGAGTTCTTTGTTAATTAGTTAGCTTGGAAAAAGACATAACTATCTATATAAGAAGTCATAAAGGTGTACACCGTAATGCAGAAAAACTAATTCTCATTAGAGGTTATTTTCTCAAGAATTCCCAGATATAAATTTAAATTCTGAGAATGTTAGTTGTTGCTCTTTATCTTAGTTTGTCTTTGTACTCTAGAACAGCAATGTAGGGCAAAAAAATGTATATTTTCTCAAAATATTTCCACCCTTTCAATTTGTGTCCTCACTTTCAACATCGGTTAATTCAATTCTTATTGAAGCTACAAAAAGCTGTGAAAAATAAATGATTAAACGCCCAAATCAAAAACAATGTCCCTTGTTAAAATTTTAATGGGTCAAACAACAAAAAACTAATGATAATGTTTTTGTGTGTGGGATTAATTAAAGGCCTTGTTCCGAATTTATTTATGATAGAAGGGCTAAGATTAATCTAATAATATCTTGTCAAGGACCTTGCTAAACCCAACAGGCACAAATTGAGATTTGATTGAACACGCAATCATTGTAGCAATTCCAATTGTTTTCGAGAGGAATCTGTAAGCCGCTTTCCAGGGTTGGATTATTTTAATCAGAAGCTCATTGCATTTTGTTCGGATACAATACCGACCATTTTATTACTTTAGTGCATTAGGGGATTGAGGAAAACGTAATAAAATGTTCGCGAATCGGAATATATACGCAGTTGAGCTTATAGGAGCTGACGTGAAAGTAATTAGAAGTTGGAAAACTTGTTTATGCTAAGAGTTTATCAGGGAGCCGTTGTCTAGCTAACAGGCCTACTTTGTCCCGATTTTACTTGTCCTCCTGATCCCAGCTAGGGATCCCAATTGATCCAGTTGTGCCCTGTAAAACCAAAAGTATTTTTCTCGAAATTCCAAATCTCAATATGAATAATCTAACATCTCCAGAAACAACGACACAAAATAAATGTGAAAACATGTTATGTACGTTATGTCGCGCCAATATAAATTATCGCAACCGCAATATTACATGGTCTATCGCAATTACGTGAGACTTTTGATGGATGACCATGAGTTATAATGAGTCATAAATTTTTATAAGGTTTTTCTTTTCTTCAAAAGATCCCTATTTTTAACCTCTGATGGCACATTGAAGAGGGTCGTTTGATGCATTTCATTCCAGTCTAATCGAAATTTGGAAAAGACCTTTATCTGCGTCACTTCCGCCTAATTGGATTTCCACTTGAACTATTCACATTGACTGCCACGTCATACATATATGAATGACACGGCCACTTCCGTTCCGGCCGCGTCATCCATATTTGTATGACGGTTCAGTTTCACTTCTAGGCCATGTCATACACTCATGTATGACAGCCTGTGTATTTTAAATGGAGATATATTTGCGTGGCCCCTGGGGATTCTCAAGGTAAACTTGGCCAGAGCAAATTTTGTTGGGTTATGGTCCAAGAATAAAACCAAAAATTTACTTAAAATAGGTATAATTTTAGGTTAAAAACTGTCAACCAAAAAAAAACTAATTCTTTCTGATAGAGTGTTCCTAAATATCATGTACAAACAAAAGGGGGTAATTCTTTGGTTTATTTTATGACTAAAATTTCTAATAAACATAGGTCCGCAAACGCTTCGTTACCGATCTACAGGGTGTTGAAATTTTAATATTTTTTTAGTTTTTTCTCTGTAGCTCCTGCAATTTTTCAGGGATTTAGCTCAAATTTGGAATAAAGGTTACCTAATAAGAGCTGAATGATTGCACATATCAAGCGTTTGCCAGAATCTACAGGGTGATGTTTTTTCAGGGGTCATTCCCCTTTTCTGCCCCTGAACTTTTTCGCGGTGCGTCACTGGTCGATTCTAAGAAACAAAATAATGTTTCTACCTTATTTAGAAACTGTTTATTCTCTTGTAGTTACTTCGTATCACCGACCCTTATCAAGAAAAAAAATAAAAAAACAAATCTCTGTAATTAGCTAGATGAAACCAAAGTGACTGAATAAACCTTTTCCAAATACAGTGGCGACAATAGAGGTCCCGCAGCCATACTTTTACTCATTTTCGATAGGAATCTAGAAGTAAAGACACTCCTCGTCGCCATGAATGACGTGGCCACTGCGAAAAAATTTCGTCAAAGTTTTCTAGGGGGCCGCGTCATTCATATATGAATGACACAACAAAAAATGCAAAAAAGCCAAAAAAATAAAAAACAAACAAAATTATAAGTAAATTTTCACTGTAAAATAAAAGAAAAGCCAAAAAATACGAAAATACAACTTTGGCCCCCAGCGAATAATTCAGGATTTGGCCTTGGCAGTCAATGTGTTAATTTGTTATTACCACCAACAAGTTTTTGGGTTGAGACTTTTAGTAGGACGTGAGTCATAAATCAATAGATTATGCATTATATTGTAAAGTTTAAGGGATAAAAGAAAATCTATGTTGCTGAGCTGATGTGGTCCCTGAGCCGTTGAATATTTTATCCAATATATTAAGAAGGTTCGTTTATTTGAGCTTGCATTTTATGCAATATCTCTGAAAGCGATTTATTTAAATCTCCTTGAGATAATCTTTCGATAACCTCAAGGTATAATATAATAATTCATAATAGTATCTTTACATAAAAATGGCGAGGGATTTTAGTTTACTATATTGAATTACATTTTTTTCTACTCAATAAAAAAATATTGCCAATTTCATCGAAGTTTTAAAATTCATACTTACAGCAAACTGATAAGGAGCTATGGTAAGTAAGTAACTTGAAACAAAATAATACCTTATAGGTTACTGGTAGTATTAATGGCATTGATTATGCCATAGTAAAAGGGCTTTGTGAAAAATATGATGGTAAAGTAAACTTAACTGCCAGAGATATCACTAGAAGTCAAGAAGCTGTAAAAGAACTGAAATTGCTTGGCCCTAATCCGCATCTCCATCAGCTTGATATAAGCGATCCAAAGAGCGTTGAGATTTTAGTATTGGACGGAGGCAATAATGTAAATTTACTAATTTATTCATTATTTATATTTTCATTAAAAACATCAAGATTTTTTTCTTCATTCAAAGAACTTTTGGAATAGGAATCAACTTTAGAAATCGAATCAAAAGCACTTAAAATCGTTTCATGATTTTGTGATTCAGCAACTTCCAATGGTGCTTTACCAATTTCCAAACACCTCGTCCCTCGTCGTCTACTCTTCGTAACTGGTTCAGTAAGTTCCAGTATAGTAACACTAACTTCTGTAGGCGAAGTTCTGTTTTTTCCCAAATTACTCATCAACTTTTCTTTTAGTGAATTCATTTAGAAGTTGCGAAGTTGTAGATTGAGAATTTTCATTGGAAACTTCATCAGTTTTTTGCATTGGCAAGCGATTGAGTATCCTCTGCAGGTTTGTCATTACTTGGCAAACTATTCCACTCGTTGGGTTTAGGCACAAACTTTAGCCTGTAAATCGAAGAATACGGAGACTGACCATCTAAACCATCGTCCAAATTAATTTGAATGGTTTTGGGAGATGAGACCTCGAATTTCTGCAAAAAGTTCACTGCGTAGTTTTGATTAGCCATATCGTCGTCTTCACTTTCTCGTTTTTGATTTTCTGGAGAGTGGTAATGTGAGGAACCACGCGTGAAATTGAATATCTCTTAACTTTTTTCAATACTTCTACTATTGTGAACGTCATTTTACGTGCTCTAGCTCGAGTTCTGGACCTTCTTCTTGGTCTAGTAATTTCAGCATTGCTCGCAGCTTCTGCAGAAGGAGATGTCGTCCTACTGACAAATTTTACTTTAGGTTAACGCTTGAATATGCTTGCTGGTGTATAAGCAGGTTGTCTAGTGAAACCATAAAACTATTATTGTTCTTCTTTCGGAGAAGGTAGTTTCTCTGGCTTTTCCAGTTGTATATCTGGGAGAAATTCAGGTAACGTGCCTTGTAGTTGTGGATGTGGATAAAGCAAATCTTGATCTAGTCCGGGTGCGACCTCTTGGTCTTCAGGCAAAACTTGAGAAGCTTCCACATACACAATGGGTTGTGATCTATTGTTATCGTAATCCATTTCCAAAACTTGTTGATTTTGCTATGGTAGCTCGTAAACTTGATGATACTCTTTGATATCTCGTTGTAGAGGATTTATGGTGAATAGGTACTTGTTGATGCATAAATTGCATATAAGATTGTGGTGGTTCTCGACTTTTTATACTGGTTCAAAATCTGTTTAAGGCAGTGATTCTTTGAAAGCTCCTAATTTCGTTTTGTGTGGGTCTCCCACGAATTCTACACTTTTGCTGCTTCACGTTTGAATCTCTAACAGAAGAGTAACTTTTAGTCGAAGTTTTAGATGCTGGACGTCTTCTGCGGAAAGCCCCTCCAGGACCGGTTGCTACCGATGACGCCATGATTCTTGATCTAGTTCTTCCTCTACTTCCTCGCTCTTGTTGTCGTAGTTGTTTCTGCTTCTGTGCTTGGCTGCAGCTCAGTGATAGATGCTAGAAGATTGAGATTTTGTTGATGCGGCCAGAAGGTTGGGTACCAGTGAAGATCTAACTTTTTGATATTTTGGACTGATGTAACTATCATCAAAGTTAGGACGATTGAGGTTGTCTATGAAGGATGTCAGATCTGGGAAGGTTTTTCCAGAATCTTCTTCGCTATTTTCTTGTGGTCTTTGGTAAGATTCAGTTTGTGTACTTGAGGCTCATTAACGTCAGCTTCATATTGTTGTTGATAGTTGGCTCTAACATCATCAGACGCACATTGCTGATGCGCTGGTCTACGTTGTTGATTGAGCTCT